TTATTTTTGCTTCAAACAATGATCTTTTACAGAGATTTCAAACTAAAAATTTTTTTCTGTGTAGCCACATAGTAATCATTTCTGTTGCTCTTCAGTTCTTTATGTAGAACCAGACTTCCTTCTGGTAGCATTTTCCTTCTGCCAGGAAGACTGTCTTTAACATTCCTTGTAATGCACGTTTGCTAGTGATGGATTCTTTCAGCTTGATGTATGTGTGAAATGTTTTTATTTTGCCTTATTTTTTTAAAAGATATTTTTGCTGGTATAGAATTTAAGATTGACTTATTTTTTCTTCAGTATTTTAAAGGTGTTACTTAACTGTTTTCTCATTTGCATAGTTTTTGACAAGAAAGCTTGTGATCATTATCTTTTTTAATGTGACCTTTTAAAAAATTTGACTGCTTATAAAATTTTTCTTATCACTTAAACAGTTTGATTATGATGTGCCTTGGTTTAGTTTTCTTCTGTATCTTGTACATAGAGTTTATTGAGCTTCTTTGATCTATCGGTATAGTTTTCATCAAATTTGGAAGATGTTCAGCCATTATTTCTTCAAATGTATTTTCCATTCTCACTTCCCTCTCCTTTAAGAATTGTCACCACAAGCACATTAGGAATTTGAAATTAATTCACAGGTCACTGATGCTCTGTTAATTTTTGGTCTTGTTTTGCTTTCTGTGTTTCATTTTGAATAGTTTCCATTGATGTGTCTTCAAGTCTACTAATTTCTTCCTTTGCAGTGTCTAATCTGTCATTAATCCCTTCTGTTGTGTGTTTTATATCTTATACTTTAGTTTTCTTCTGTAGAAGGCCAACTTGGATCTGTTTTATATTTTCCATGCCTCTAACTTTAATTTTTCTTTCAGTTTTTGAAATATAGTTGACTCTTGAACAACAAGGGGGTTAGGGTTGTGACCCCCTGCACAGTTGAAAATCTGTGTATGACTTTGACTCCTCTAAAACTTCAGGTAGGAGGAAAAATCTGGTGTCTTTTACTCCATCTTGGCTGGAACGTGAAGTTAAATTAACATTTCTAATTGATGTAATTTAATGAGAATCTACTTGCACAGTAAAACTGGTCAAAAGTTAAAGTCTTTACTTAAATAGTATCTTTCATTTTACCCCCAAAATGGCACCTCTCATTAATTTTAGAACAAGTTTGTTTTTGAATGAAAATGATTGGCAATGAGCCTATTTACATTAATCCTGAAATTAATGATGTTTAAAGTGGTTGTAGATTTTACTCTTCCATTATTTTTGTCACATTTATTATTTGACACTCTTAAGTAAATTTATTTCAAACGTCTGGTTTAGAGGAAGGATTTTGGAAATCTAGTCAACATAATTTAAACTAACCACTGGGAGAGTCTGGGTGGGTGGGTGGTGGGGGGGAATGTGTTAATTCCAATGTTTCATCAAAGAATAGTTTAATTCTAAACTTGTTATTTATAACAAGATGCATATGTTCTTTCTGGCAGTCCTACAGGGAAGCCAAGGCATCCACGTCAGCCGTGTGGTTTGCCAGCACACATCATTTACTGATCAGATTGCGTGAATGATCCTTGAGTGTGTGAGGCTCTGTGACCTCTCTCTCATTGTCTTGCTAGTGGAAAACATGAATATTCTTGCTAAACACCGAAGCTGACTCTGGTGGGCTAACGCACATGAATTCTGTTGACTCACATTGCAGGTGGATAACCAGCTCCTTGGAGTGAGGTTAAGTTTGTACCTTCGTTCTATAATATGAATAGAAAGAGATCTTAATTCAAGGCAGTAGCAGCAGACATTTCCACTTGAATCCTAGTGGGCAGACTGCTGTGCACTTTGTCGTGAAGAGTATTTTATTGTCAGATAATACAGATAATAGGGCCTATGCTTATCCACAGCCTAACTTTAAGGTTCTTACCTCATATATGTCTTACTTATCTTTAAAAAATGCACTCGTAAATGGGAATAAGCATTTCAATATTTGATGAGGAGGGTTAACATTTGATAATTGAATTTTTTTACAGTTAGTAGTATTTTAAATTTTGCTGCCTTAAAAATTAAGACTCTCATACCTTTCTCCAGAAGTAGAGATTTTGAAGTATTACACATTTGTATAGTAAGTGTTTTTAAGTTAAAATGTAAGTATTGTTACTTTTTCTTAAGTGTTGGTACTTTAATAAAAAGGTACATTTTTTAGTTTAACGATTGCCATGACGTTTAGAGAAGTGATTGCCGAGGTCTCTTGCTGTCCAGTCTCACAGAAGATTTTCAGAGTTGAAGAGCTCTGTGTGATCCTAGTCAGCATTAGTTAGATTTTTAAAATATGAAACTAAATTGGGACAGTTCTCGGTGCACTGTGGCAGCAGGCCCCTGGATGTATGGTTCCCAGATGTATGCTCCATTCTCACTCCGGGGGCATCTTGCCAACTCCATTCACACGTGGCAGTGTGGTCCCAATGTGGTACATGCGTCACATTTGGGGAGTGGCTGATCACTGTTAGTTCACACCAGTGGTTTCAAACGTGGAGTCTGGGCCCCAGGAATTCACAAAGGAAGACTTGGCTGTGTGAACAAATCAGTAGAACTTGCGTTTACCTTTATTGTTGGGACTTTTTAGCTAAGCCTTTGTTTTGTCTATGTGTAATGTGTATGCCAGTGAATAGCATCATTTATAAATAATTGCACACACATGTGTTGGGTATATGTGCTCTCATTTTGTTTTGCCAACGGTGCTGTCTGATCAAGAAGGTTCAGACTAGATAAGGCTCTGAGGAGTGTCCGGCAAGGATTCTGTCCTGTGACCTTCCGGCTCCTCCATCAGTGAGTGTCATGATATGGAAGATTTGTGCATTTGTGTGCTTTCTTATGAAAAGAGCCATGGCTCCCACTAGATTCTCAAAGGCATCTTTGGTCAAATATCTCTGGGCTGAAACCAATGAAGCTTGTTTGGAAGGACTCAGTCTTGTTTACAGATACCTTCTTAGGCTAAATTAAAGGGTATTCTATTTGAAAAATAAAATATATAATTAGACACGTATTCCTTTTAACAAGTAAAGTTTCACCAAGACTTCCGAGGAGCTGTAGCCACGGCCATTGCCGTGGTCTTGTGGTGTGGGGCCATGCAGCATCCCTGGCTGGACTCTGGGTCCCTGTTGCCTTTAGAAAGATTTTGTTTGTATGTTTTCATTAATCTTCTAGCTCCTTAAAACATTATAGTAGATTATTGTCTCTCAAAGTCAAAGTCATTGGCGCTGGGTAGATGTGACTACAAAAGAGCTACTTTCGGAAACATCCTGTTTTCCTGCCTGTTTGGTATGAAGAGTTTCTGCTGTCTCTGTGGGTTGCTTTTGTAGAGTCTGCCCTGGGCAGGTGATGGGATTGCACTGGGGTGGGGATGAGAGTTAAGTCTGAAAGCTGTCTGACAAGGTGAAATGGAGGTTAGTCGAAGTCATTCCTGAAACCCTTAGAGCACTCATAAAATAAAGGGTTGTGTTTTTAAAAAAATATATTTTAATTGATTTTTTTACAGAAAGGAAGGGAGAGGGATAGAGAGTTAGAAGCATCGATGAGAGAGAAACATCGATCAGCTGCCTCCTGTACATCTCCTACTGGGGATGTGCCCGCAACCAAGGTACATGCCCTTGACTGGAATCGAACCTGGGACCTTTCAGTCTGCAGGCCGATGCTCTATCCACTGAGCCAGACAGGTCGGGGCTAAAATAAAGGTTTTGATTTATAGTCCTTTGTGGTTAAATTTTTATATGACCCTCTGTAGCTCTTTAAGTTCTTCCTTGAGAGATGGCAACAGTATACCAATGGTCAGAAAATCTTACCATTCACACATCCTTTCCAGTAAGTATGGGCCAAGGCACGTGCTCATTGAAGAGAAGGACTGTTTAAATTATTGCTTTTATAAGCGTGTACAGGTGAGTTAAAGGGACTTCCTTGCAATATGACACAACCACGCTGCATTTCCAGCTGTGCCATTTTATTCGTCAAACCTGTAGCATCTGATTCCCATGAATGATTTTTTCCTGAAAAGGACTCACCTGTGTGTTTATTAATTTACTAGAGGCCCGGTGCACAAGATTCGTGCACTCGGGAGGGTCCCTCAGCCCAGCCTGTGCCCTCTCACAGTCCGGGAGCCCTCAGGTGATGTCTGACTGATGGCTTAGGCCGCTCCCCCCCCCCGCCCCTTCCGGGGAGCGGTCATACAGACATCCTTAGCACTGCCTCGGAGGTGGGAGAGGCTCCCGTCACCGCTGCTGCGCTTGCCAGCCATGAGCCTGGCTTCTGGCTCAGCAGTGCTCCCCCTGTGGGAGCGCACTGACCACCGGGGGCAGCTCCTGTGTTGAGCGTCTGCTCCCTGGTAGTCAGTGCGCGCCATAGCTACCGGTGGTTCCACTGTTCAATCAATTTGCATATTACCCTTTTATTATATATAGGATTATTATATAGGCTGTAGTAAGTATTGAGTGTACGCAAGGCTTTGCTCTGGCATTGGGACCACAGGAGTCAGAAAGATGAAGCCCCTGCTCTCAGGACTCATCCTGTGGGGAAAGGAGGCAGTAAAGCAGCCAGAGGAGGCAAAGCTGTTCCAGGTCACGTGTGCGATGGAGAAACAGAATTTGAGTCGAGGGCATGGAGAGGCAGGCGCCCTCTCCAAGGACGTGGACAGGCGGGGATGGGGAAGGAGTGGGTTGTCAGGTGTCTTTTTCTATCAGACCCCTGTTTCCTGGGTCAGTGTTCACTTGCCCCCACATCCTTATCCCCCTCGCGCCCCCCCCCCACCCCCAGCAGCAGGGCAGTTCTGGTCAGTGTGAGCATGACCTCTATGTGACCTCTGTGTGAGTAGAACGTGGGGGAGCAGGCAGGGCGGACGGGTCTGGTTCCACAAGGCATAGTCACTGACAGAAATGGGAAAGGCCAAGGAATTGATCTGATTTGCACTTTATTTTGTGATGTCTGTGAACACATCATACCTGATTTTAAGGGCTGTTTGTTTTTAACAGGAATCACTAGATTCGATCTTCTGGGAGACTTCGGAAGGTTTAACTGGCTGGGAAATTTCTATATTGTGTTATCCTACAATTTGCTTTTCGCTGTGGTGACAACACTGTGTCTGGTCAGAAAATTCACCTCTGCGGTCCGGGAAGAGCTCCTCAAGGCCCTAGGTAATCCGCCGGCGCTGCGTGGTTTCTCTCTGCCTACTAATTCATAACTTTACATGAGAGCTAATTTTCAGTTTTCACTCACTCATTTCTCCAAATGTGTGAGCCCTTAGAGGTCACAGTCCTAACCCTGGTGTGAGACCTCCCCACTAAGCGCGGCCTTCCTCACCTGTAAGGCTCCTCCTGAGGACTGGGGACGCTGACAGACACACTTCTCGGGAGGCTGAGCCCCGTCCTGCGCGGTCGGAACAGGAAGCAGCAGCTCTTTGTCTTGTGACTGGTGCTGGGAGAGAGTGGGGAGGGCGGAAGGATATTTTTTGGGAAGGACACCTCCTTCTGTTTCAGTGAAGGATTTTCATGAGGTTTGGGTTTTGCAGGTGTCAGGCCGACCCCCAGTTCTCTTCAGTGAGCCCCACACAGCTCAGGATAAAGCATAGTGTTCTCGCATTCCTAGGAGCGAAGCGTCCTGACCCCGTCTCCATGGCCACGGGACAGTGGGCGCGACTCCTCAGTGGGTGAAAATGTGCCCTCGGAGTGTGTTGGTCCTGCTTACGTCAGCAGTAATCCTAAGCACGTTCCAGCCTTTAGGTGTTGGGAGCCCCGGGTCAATAGAAAGGACCACACATCAGCCTTCCGGGGTGTGGGCATGAACCTTTATAGCAAAAAGGGAAAGGCAGCAGTTGATGCTAGACAGTCCTGACGTGAGCTCACCCCCCTGCACTGGCCGCGCTCGGCGCTTACACTCCACGCTCCATTGTGTTTCCAGCTCCTGGACAAGGCAGCCTGATGCTGGGCTCACTGAGGCCCTGCGCTCAGGTAACTGAGCCTTGTGAGCGACAGCAAAGCTTGGCTCACCAGGGCTTCCCAGCCCAGGGATTGAAAGGGTGACCTTTGGGCCTGGCCGGCGTGCTCAGTGGTGGAACGTGAACCTAGGAACCAGGAGGTCAGGGTTTGATTCCCGTCAGGGCACATGCCTGGGTTGTGGGCTCAATCCCCGGTGTGGGGTGTGCAGGAGGCAGCTGATCAATGATTCTCTCATCATTGATGTTTCTATCTCTCTCTGTTCTTCTCTGAAATCAATTAATCAATTTTATATATATACACACACACACACACATATACACACACACACATTTTTTAAATAAAGAAAGGGTGACCTTGGGGAAGGAGAAAAGATTTCGGATTGTTTGTGTTTTACTTTTACTAACCCTGTAAGGAGGTGGCTGATGAAATATTGGCCCGAAAGGGAAAAGTTACGCCTCACTTCAGCCGGAGCACCAGAAAGTGGGTGGGTCCCTGCCCAGGGGTGGGATTCTGGCTGTGGGGTATGCACAGTGGCTGGGATCAGGCAGTTCTGGCAGGCAGTGTCCAGAGTTAAACCGCAAGGCGCCGAGCTGTAAGCTCGCTCAGCTCCCGCGGGCACCTCTGCGATAGGGCGGCTGTACCCGCAGCGGGGCCGCTGCGTGCAGGGTCCTGGATGCCCCGTCAGGGCATCTGCACACAGTGGACGCTCAGTTTAGCTACGGATGATGGTGCCCATGGCGGCTTCTGCACAAGACAGACACTGGTTCCTCCAAACCCCAGCCCGGCAGCACCCATGTTTCAGAAGGAACCCCCCACCCAGGAGGGCTGTGTCCTGTCCCCTCTCCCGCGGGTGCAGTGTTCTGTGTTGGGTTCCGTGGAAGTGGTGGCTCAGAGGCACAGGTTGCTGTGACTCACATAAATACTTTTTATTCTCTGAAATATTATCTTTGTTTAACTTGTTGCTTTGCCATTTCTTTCTTTTTCTTTTGGGAAATGTTTTCCATAACCTTTCTTTTTAAATACGTGCTTCATATTTTGCTGTGTCTGTCCATGCATTTTCCTGTGTTCTTCATATGTGTGTATTTTGAAACACAAATGGATGATGCTTGTTTGGGGTTGGGCTCCCTGGGAAGCGCCCTTGGGGTAGGAACAGGCTTGCAGGAGGATCAGTGCTGAGGGTGGGTGAGTGGGGCGGGACCTCCATGGGGCGCTGTGTGTGCCACGGGGCTGGCCCGGGCCCGGGTGGAAGAGAGACCCCTTGGAGGTGTCCCCAGCACCTTCACTCCCATTAGTGCCCCGCCACCCCCACCCGCCTGGGGCAGAGCCTCCTCTCACCATTTCCTCCTCCCTGCAGGACTCCATAAGCTGCACTTATCCAGGGCACCCCGGGAGTCGGACACCGCCAAGCCATCTGCCAATGGGCACCAGAAAGTCCTGTGAGGCCGCTCCGCTCTCAGCGCAGATACGGGAGTGACTCGGACACTCCTGGTCCCAGGCGTGGCGGCCCCGCTCACGTTCTCATTGTCCTCTGGGAACCTGCGGGGCGTGGGTTCCAGCCCCACACCCACGTCTGCTCTGTCGGGACGGCCACCAGGAGGCAGCCGGGAAGCTAGGGCTTCCGAGGACTCGCTCCAGCCCAGGACCTGCACACGTGGAGGCTGCTGGCGGCACCTGGTGCTGGAACAGGAGGTGGCCAAGGGCGTGGGGCGAGGCCAAGGGCGTGCACAAGGTGCCGGAGTGTCTGTGCCTGGGACGTGGGAGCTGGCGTGGCGCCTGATATTTTCCACGTCCTTGATGCAGGAACAAAGCACAGTTCAGATTTAGTTACAGATGTGAGTCCAGGGGACACAGGGAACTCTTACCCCCACGCCTGGGCAGCCCTGCGTCACCAAGGTGGGAGGGAGGGGCCAGCCGGTTCCAAGTTCATGGCCGGTCAGTGTCACCTCTCCTGGCACAGCTGCCAGTGTGAGACCCTGGGACCAGCGCCCGCCTTACGGGCTGTATGACACCATTTTTTAAGCCCTTTTTTCTAGACTCCCTTAACTCCTCATGCTCCTTCGTCCATCCTAAACTAAGCCCTCTGGGTAGAAACCCCTTTCTTTTGCTGCTGCTTCAGGCTTCGCTACTTTTGCCATTTAAACCTCAGACCCGGAAAAGCAACCAGTTTAGCACCAAACGCACAGCATCTGGTTCTGGCATAAGAAGAGTTTGGCCGACTATCGTGATCTGCTAGCCACCCAGTTGTTAAGCTGTAAATAATTCTCGGGGTCGTGTCGTGGCCCCACGTCCACTGAATAAAGTTGTCCCCCAGGAGACCGAGTTCTGTCGGTCGAGCGTGCAGGATCCGAGGGCCCCCGCAAAGCCCCACGCCCGGTCTCTACATGTCTCTACATACACACGTATGTTCACATGTCTGTAAATACGTACATATATTCATATGCACTGTGTGTGTGCAATGAGCCATCTATGCAGGCAACAGTAAAATAACTTTTTTCTCAAATTGTTGCATTTAAAGCTTTTTTGGGGGGGGAGCAATTATGAAAACCAGGCTGTGTATATTGGACATCAAAACATTTCCACTTAGAGTCAAAATATTAAGAAAAATGAATGGGTATGTTTGTAAGCTCCACTGACTGCCTGTCCTCCGTGTCCACCCACACTTCCTTCAGAGCCACGTGGAAATGCAGGCCGCTTAAAAGATAGTTGAGGATTGTGAACAGTACTCGGTAAGCCTCGTGCTCGCGCTGGTGACGGCCAGCATGGGACGCGCCCGAGGAGGCGCACGCAGGCGTGCTTTCTCGTTCCTGCATCTGCCCGCGTGGGCATCAGCTGCCAGCTGTGGCTTTCGCGGGAACTCGTGGGAGTCGCCCTGGGACAGACGGCCACGGGAGAAGACACGCTTCTTTCAACAGAGTGGCGCTGCCCAGTCAGCCCAGTTCAGGCACGTCCCGGGAAGAGTTCTGGGCATGAGCACGACGTCCGACAGCGTCTGGGGCAGACAGTCACCTTTTCTGTGTTTGTGTCAGGTCTGTTCACTGACCGCTTCTCACTGAGGACTGAGCCACCTGGCCGGGCCTCCCGGGGAGGCCTGCTACGGACACCCACACACAGGGCCCTGCCCGGTCGTGGCCTGCACGCAGGGCCAGGGCCTGCAGGGACCTGTCAGTGAGGGCTGGTGAAGGCCAGCAGCCGTCCCCAAAGTGGCGCTGCCCCTCGTGACCACAGGCCTCCCCCTTCCCATCTCCCGCGTCTTTTCTGAAGGCGTTAGGCCTGGGGGTACAGGTTTCTTGAGGAGACTCAGCTAACTCCTGTCATTAATTGGTTCTGCATATTTAAATAAAATATTTTAAAATTATAAAATTTACAGATGACAACTTTTGTAATGATTTTCCAACCTATTTCTTAGATTTAATGTTTTCTCAGCTTTATGAACATTCTCTCTAAGCTAGATCTGTTCTAAGTAAACACAAACACATTCACATTAGTGCTCAGTGCACAGTGAGTGGTGGGTGGGAGGGAACTTTCTCGTGGTCCTGACTCCCAGGTGCGTTAAAGGTGTGTGCACACCTGGTCTTCGGGGCACCCACACCTGCCTGACTTTGCTGGACCACAGTGGTCCCCCATGGCCTCGGTCACCCTGAATCTGTCCACAGCACAGGTTGGAAGCCTTGTTGCTTTCTGGTCGTTTGCATAGTATTTAATGAATAAAGAGAATTCTTACAGTAATTTAAAAAATATATGGGCGTATATACAGTACTGACTTTTTAAACTTTAAAAAATCTTTTTAAACTTTAAAAAATCTGGTCTGATGTTACTTTAAAAATAATGTTTGGAGGCACTGGTAAATTTGTTTACAGGGCATTGTTTTTTTTGTTTGTTTTTTACAAATTGTTACTCCTGTTTCTATGAGATATTGTCAGTGTGACCATTTAAATGTCTTAGAAATTAAAGTTTTACAAAAATGAGTGCTTATAAGCACTGAAATGTGTTTTTCTAAAAAATCGGAAATACCATCATGTCTAAAACTTCAGCGTATGTATAGGTACTTCCATTTCCTTGTATAAAGAGCAGTAATTCTGGTGAGACACTGAATGGAGGCAGAAGCCACTATTTTCTCTCTTTATGGTGGAGTTACTGGTAGACCAGTTTCTTGCACTCTGAGATGGAGCCTCGATCGCGGAAATGATGTGTAATCCTAACTGAGTACCTAGATTTGTGTGCTTCCCCTGGTCTCTCCCACAGAAGGCTCGGCCGCACTGAGTGTGGTCCAGGCAGCGCAGCGAGCGCTCGAGACAGGATGGACACTAGCCGCTGGTGCAGGCACCGACAGGCAGTGCTTTACGCTTTCTGACCACAGAAGAGACACACTGTACATGTGAGTCAGCACGCGCACCCACACGCACACACTTCTGTCCATATAAACAAACATTTAACCAGGAGGGCCTCCTTTCACGTGTGTGATGTATGCTGGCATTTTCTATTCCATTTTGTTATTTTTTTAACATAAACCACTAAGTCATTTCCTGACCTGTATTAATGGATGGTAAAATTTAGTTTGAAAGACACCACGTTGAGGGCTGTGAAAATTGTTCATCAGGTGAAATGTGTTATTCCAGATACCTGAGGCAGAAGTCCTAGGCATGCCGAGTCCTTGTTGCCCGCAAAAGTGTAATTAAAATCAGTCGAAATCGCTGAACCGCTAACAAATGGATTATAACATTTCAAAACTAGGTGATTGATCCCTATGTCTGGAAGGGGAGAGCTGGGAGCTGGTTTTTGAGAGAAGTGATTTAACCTCCAGTTGTGTGTAACTCAATTAGGAAGGTGTCTTTCAAGTTCAAATGTAACCAAATAGGAAATCCAGATGGAGACAGCTCCTCTTGGTGTCTCACTGCTGAGCCCTCCCAAGCAGAGGCCCAGCCACCGGGCCAGCAGGACGCTGGGCTGGGAGCAGGGCCTCCAGTGTCCACCACGGGGCAGGGCCCTGGGCTGGGAGTGAGGCCGAGGCGGTGGTCACTGCGCCTTGTACATCTTCCTTTGAGACACTGTTACTGAAGACGGGGCCGCTGCAGGGATGCGGGGCAGCCCTGGAAATTGCACGGTTTTTTGTATCAGCAGACGGTGGATTTGGACAGTCAAGTGCCAGCTCTTCGTGCGATGCCAATGTGGGCGCTTCCCATGTGACCCTCGGTCCTCTGGGCGTGTCTCCGCCTCCAGCGTCCACAGCGGCCACCTCCTCTCGCTGTGTCCTCACTGTGGCCTTGGAGGTGAAGCGGCGGGCAGGGCGAGCCTGCCGTTTGCAGGGAGACCTTGGCCTCGGTCTCCCCGGTCTCCCCGAGCGCAGGCCCAGGCCCCGCTGGCGTCAGTCGTGGGGTGCCGAGGGGTGGGGAAGTGGCAGCAGCTGGCCTCCGTGTGCTCGGCTCACTCAGCCAAGGCACTGGGTTCCAGAGCGAGTGCTGCCAGACACTCCGCAGCGCTGCCCACGCCAGGGGACAGGAAGCTGGATTCTAAGGTGAGACCGATGTTATGTATGTCGCTTGCAAAAGGGTCCTCCTGCTTTAAAATAGTGTGACAAGAACACTCCCAACAGCAGCCACTTGGTGCTCCCGGCGCCAGGCTTTGCTTCAGCATTTAATTTGTGTGAATGTGCATTTACATATGTCATTTATTCAGTCCCCATGGTGACCCTGTGAGGTGTGTACTGTTAGTGATAGTATTATTCCCACTTTGTAGGTGGGGAAGCTGAAGCACAGAGAGGTTAAGGAACCTATCCAGGGGCCCACAGGATTCAGAATTCAAATCTCTGGCCAGCTCCCTAGTCCTGCCCTTAACCACTATATACACCGCCTCTCAGAGCCGTTTTACTCCCACTGACGGCCGAGGAGGGCCCCCCCACCCCCGCCCCCCGTCCCCAGGACTGAATGACAGAGCCCCTCTACCTCCAAACAGCTTCCGCTCCTCTAAACCAAAAAGGCGTGGCTCAGAGCTGTCACCTCAGTCTTGATGGGGACAGTAAACCAGATAGAGAACACGTGTGAGACATTTGGGCCTTAAGAACACTACTTGATTGCCTTGAAAGGAATTGTGAGAAATCCTCACCTGTCCGAATTCAAGTAACGGACTCAGAGACAGAAGTATGGGAAAAATCAGACTTTTAATAAGTTCTCAAGAGCAGGTGTCTGTCCAATTGTACAGGCACACCTGGGGCAGCAAACACAGCCTGTTTATTCAGTCCCTCCTCCGGGTCCTCATTGGCTGAGTCCTATGGGGTCACCTGTTTCCTCATATGTCGCCTAGGTCTTGCTGTCTCCCACTGGGCCATTTAAAAAAATTGGGCTGAAGCCTTTTCTAGTTGCCTCCACCTCCCCCAGTCTAGTTGAGGCAGGTACCTCGGGGGTTTCCACCATGATGCTGGCCACAGTGCTTTGTTCTTATATCCTCTTCCCTCCTCCCTACATTCTGTTTGCTCTGGGGAAATTCAGCAACTGTTTGCGTCAAAAGCCGACCATGCTGGAGATGGGTCACGGAGGCCCATTTCCTACAGAAGGAGGTGATTTGGGGAAGTTCTCTTTGGCTCCCACTTTAACGCACAGGCCCAGATCTGGGGACCTGCAGCCCCAGGACGGGTGGCGGAGGCCTGGGTTTCCCGTTTCCTCATTCTCTCCCCCTGTGCAAAGCGGCTGTGCAGAACCTGGGCTGTGAGGAGGACCAGGAAGAGTGGCCACAGCCACCGCACTCAACTCCAAGGGCAGAAGTGGGACGCGGGAGACTTGCATGTGGACAGCATTTTACACGGACGCCCGCCCTGCGTGGCTGACGCGTCTGAGTGCAGGCGCTCGATAAGTGTCAGCTGTTATTTGAAAAGTCTATTTAAATATTTTAATTGCTCGGCCTTTCTGAGACAATGTCGTAATTAGCTGTAGCAGCTCCTATAAAGGACTGTAGCCTTTTTTAAAAAAAAATATATTTTATTGGTTTTTTACAGAGAGGAAGGGAGAGAGATAGAGAGCTAGAAACATCGATGAGAGAGAAACATCGATCAGCCGCCTCCTGCACATCTCCCACTGGGGATGTGCCCGCAACCCAGGTACATGCCCTTGACCGGAATCGAACCTGGGACCCTTGAGTCCGCAGGCCGACGCTCTATCCACTGAGCCAAACCGGTTTCGGCGGACTGTAGCCTTTTTAACTTTTAGCAGTGGGCTGCATAGAAACAGCCGACATTTAAAAGTCTTTAAAAGTCGTGCAGCGCTGGACTTTGGTGTTTCAGAACATTGCTTTATAAAACCCTGTGATGTGGATATGAAATATTTGCCGGGTGTGTCGTTAATACTTTTCCTGGTTATTTTTTAACTTTATTTTTGATTATTTTTAAAGTTTATTTTTATTGTTGACACTGTTACAGGAGTTCCCATTCCTGCCCTTTGTTTTTGGCTGTTAGGAAATTTAAAAATTTGAAGTCATCAAAATCTGAAATTTCCCATGAGTACTGAAAGATCCCTCCCTCCCCTACGGTTTGAAAGAATCCTGTTGGTTTTCTTCCTCACTAGTTAATTGAGACGTAATACACATCCATAAGGTCGCTCTCCAGCGCAAGTCGTTGGTGCTCGGGGCCCTGCTCTGCCCCACGGGTCTGTCTGTCTGCCCGCACCAGCCTCCTGTCAAAAGGCTCACACACTGAGTCCCACGTTTCGGGATCACAGCCCTGACCATCGCCTCCCTCACCGTCAGTCAACTGGTGGCCACCGCTGGAGCAGAGCCAGCACCAGAACCCCGAGGACGTGGGCAGGGGGTCCTGGAGCTGGGGCTCCCCTCAGAGCTGGCGGCCCGTCCCCGGGACTCTGCGGAGGAGGCTACTGGCCCCCACCGTGGGGCGCACCCTGTGCATGTGGGCTTCTCGCAGGAGAAGCAAGCCTGCTGTCTCTGGGGGCGGCGCCCACACTTCGAGCCGCTCCATCAGAGAAGCGGGGACAGGCCGCGCCCCTGAGGCCTGCGCGGCTCAGCCTGGACGGCACAGGGGCCCCCACGGAAGCGGCGGTCACCCGCCCCGTGAGGGACACGGCAGCCTCTCCCTGAATCTGCACCTTCGCGTGGCACCAACAGGAACCCCATTTTGCTTAGTGGCCGTTTTGTGGGAAGTCATGTCTGAGCTGAGTATGAAGCTGTCCGGGAGGCGGCGCACCTTTGGGCGAACCTACGGTGGGGCTTCGGCCTGGGTGCCCAGCAGCGGTGGGAGCAGGTGCCGGGACGTGAGCCTCGGGTGGGTTGAGGGGCGGCTCTGCCCACACGCTGTCCTCTGGGACCCCCAATACCACTCGTCACTGAGGGAGTGACACTCTCCTGACACTCGCCTTGCTGTCACTCGGGTCGCAGGTGCCAGAAACCCAAGTCCCGACGCTCAGGGTCCTCAAGTCGGGGGCTGAGTCATGTGCAGTGCGCCCAGGGGACCCCCCAGACCAGCCAGCCCCACCCGATGGTGGGGAACACGTGCTTGTTGTGACAACACCATGACAGCAAAATCGATTCCCTCAGCACATGAAACAAAACTGGAATTTACTATTAAAAGGTAACACAATAGGCAACCACCTGAACTGCAAACAGGCTACTTCAGTGATGGCGAACCTATGACACGCGTGTCAGAGGTGACACGCGAACTCATTTTTTTTGGTTGATTTTTCTTTGTAAAATGGCATTTAAATATATAAAATAAATATCAAAAATATAAATCTGCCCTAACCGGTTTGGCTCAGCAGATAGAGCGTCGGCCTGCGGACTCAAGGGTCCCAGGTTCGATTCCAGTCAAGGGCATGTACTTTGGTTGCGGGCACATACCCAGTAGGGAGTGTGCAGGAGGCAGCTGATCGACGGTTCTCTTTCATTGATGTTTCTAACTCTCTATCCTTCTCCCTTCCTCTCTGTAAAATATCAATAAAATATATTCTAAAAAAATATAAATCTTTGTTTT